ATCTGCACCTTCAATTCACGGCCCTTCCACCACAGAACTCAGTAAATCAGAATCATTTGGCCAAAGCACGTTATCAGTTCCTCACTTCAGAAGGACACAGAGGTGAATTTTTCAACCAAAACCAGTTCGCCTGCTCATTAAAGCCTCAGCCTGTGGGGGTTTCTGCAGAAATGAATTTTCATTGTTTCTTCCCTGAATTTTTTTCATGTTTTTAATGTAAACAGACAGGCTTCTCCACAGCCATCCTTATTCTGCAGAGCTCATACCCCATGACACGGTACATCTACAGATCTGCCACTGTCTGCTGTGGCCAGAATGTGTTCAGCCCCTTAATCCTTCCCTGGGATCATATTAAAAAAAATCTTATTCGCTTCCTCTGAGCTGATGTGGATTCAGAAATCCTGGTATTGTGTCATGAGGTCAATCTGTAGTGTTGCTTTGCATTTTGCACCTGTAACAAAACACTTGTCCTGTTCATTTTCTCACAGTTACACAAATATTATATTTAATATATATTATGATATAATGTATTCTAATATATAATGTATTCTAATATATAATCTATTCTATTCTATTCTATATAATAATATTTAATTCTTGCACACCCTTGCACTGTGCAGCTTTTCATGCTTCAGCCCAGGAATTGCAAGCTTTGAGTCACCAAGCACTGACACATATCCCTGCTCCCTCGAGCACACAATAGCTTTGGTAAGCTTTTGGAGTGTTTTTTATAAAAAGCCTGGCTGTATAGGAAAGCAGTGCTGCGCTGGCTAATGCAAATGAGTCTGCAGTGTTCAAGGTTGTCAGAGAAACAGTAAAAATACCCAAAAAGCTCTCGGACGGTGCTGGAAAGGACCTTGCCTGGGACGTGTTAAAGAGAAGCTGCATTTTGGGAGGTGTGAGGAGAAGCTGTCAGTAGTTGTCACCTCTGAATCCTGAGCCGTTTCTGTCACTTGTTAAAAGGACACTTTCAGCGTCACCTCTCGCTTCCATCTCAGGTTTTTGTAGTGTGCTGTTATGAAAAGTACGTCAGACCACTATAAAGCAACTTATTTGTGGTTTGTGTTTGTAGTGTTGACAGCCTATGTGAAAATTTCCTGTGCTTGAATAAACTTCTTACAGCACAAGAGAGAATGTAATACATAGCTTATTGTAGAAATGAAAGTGTTTCCTTAAAAAAATGAAATAGTTCAGGCACAGCATTTGGCACACAGGATCCTACGCTGCATGTACTATGACTTTATGGATAGATAGCAAACTGCTGATCTGCATAAGTGAGTAAATGTTGAATAACCTTGGCAGGAAGATTTAATGAATTAATTTTTAATCCAGGCAGCGTTGCCAGTTACTCAGTGCATTACACATCTAGTCGTCAACTGGTTGCTTCTGGTTTCTTCTTTTAATCTTTCCAGTGAAAGGCTTCAAAGACAGAAAGGGAGGAAATAACCACTTCTTTATGTCCCTCACTATATCTTTATTGAATGGAATGATAAGAAACACAGTAGCTAGAGGCTGCCCCTTGATTCTTCTTCCCCCAGATTCTCAGTGATGCTTATTAAATAGGAAAAAAAAAGGCTGAAAATACATGGTGGGAAAAAGGCTATTGAAAATGGGATGGGGGAAAGAGGATATAAAAACTGGAATGGCAAAGGGCTGGAGGAGAAGTTAGAAGCAGGCAAACTAAAAATGGACTCTAATTTTGTGATTTAAAAAAAACCCTAACAGCTATGGATTGAAAGTATTTCATAAATCACTCTGATTCTGTATTCCCATTGTTACTTTTCCATTACGTTTTAGACTACAGCAATATTTAAACTTTTTAAATTAAAAAAAATACTCGTGCCATTTATGGTGTGCAGCATAAAACCGCACCCTCCTGACTTTCCGTGTATACACCCAAGAGAGTGGAGATCAATGAAGGAAATTTATGGGATTTGTTTCATTTTCTGTCTCTGATTTTTTTGGTTTTGTTTGGATTTTCTTAGGCACAAACAGATACTTCAGGACGGTAGCCATGAAAATGGGTTTGAATGTAGTTTTTGTTGACTGCACAAGGAAGGAATGCCTGGAAGCTGCAATTACACCGAAAAGCAAGGTAGGGGAGAGGGAAATTGCTGAACTTATTTGCTTAATGTCATTAAATAACTTAATTCCTGCTTTTGTTGTGCTGGGTGTATGTGTCAGGCAGAGAGGGCTGCAAGGTGGCCCCTGTGGGCACAGATTGGGACACAGCTGTCCTCAGCACATCCTCGCTGCAGCCACTTGGTGACCTTTGTGGATCCTCATGGAAAACATTTTTTAAAAGGGCAAAAACCACCAGGAGGAGAAGGGAAAAGGTAAGAAACAGCAGAGGGAACACCAAGGCCAGAGGAGGAAGAGGTGCTCCATGGCACTGGAGCAAATAACCCCCTGCTTTCCTGGGAGATAACAGCTGGGAAAGGCTTACAGACTTTTGGGCATCAGGACTTTCTTCTGGCTGTGTCAGGCTTTCCTCAGATGTGGTGCATTTAGGTTTTCAGAAGTCTGATGTTCTTCCCACGTATCAGTTGTTTTTGTGGAGAATATTGTCTCTCCCGAGAAACCTCGCCTTTCTTCAGCAGGGATGCCTTCCTCTTCCCACTCTGCATGGGAAGCTGACCCTGAATGAGTTAACGTTCATGAGCATTTATGACTTACACACATATCCTCACCAGCACTGTCAAATCTCTGAATTGATCTCTGGTGTTGAATTCCTGCAGCTGGTTTGGATTGAAACGCCCACAAACCCCACGCTGAAAGTCATTGACATCCGAGCCTGTGCAGACGTAGTCCACAAGCATAAGGATGTTCTTCTGGTGGTAGACAACACTTTCATGTCTGCCTATTTCCAGGTAAGCACTTGTCTTGGTCACAATTACCCCTTTATCTCAGCATATTCAAAGATACATTTTTAAAATGGAAGCATCACCAAGGTGTAGTTTTGCTCCATGCATTGTAAAATTTCCTGTTATGTTTGTAAATACAACCCATGCACTGCTACTGTTCTCATTAGTGAAGGTGGTTTGCAACATGTTTTATAGCTAGCCATATACCAATATGGTACCAGTAAAACCAGTATAGCTCAGCAGTCAAGTAAATGCACTGAATCAAGATAAGCCACTGGGAGAATGGCTTCTGTGTCACTCAAAAACCATGGGTTTTAGTTCTTACTGATGGAAAACAACAGGCCTGTTCAAAAGTGTCCTGTTTCCTAGCTTCAGCCTTCTTATACCAATTCCTTTGTATGTGGTCTGTTCTGAACCACTTGATACTCTAAAAAAGATAGTGGAACAAAGAAGTTAAAACAAGCAAACTTTGCTAAATCCTTCTTTGAGATATTCAGGTTCCTTTTTCTTCAATATTTTAGTGGATGTGTGGCTTAGAAGTTTGTAATTTTGATCTCGAACAACTGGCATCACTTTTCTGCTTTTATAACTAGAATACACGAAATGAAGACAATTTTTTAAGTTCTAAAAATGCTTTGGAATAATAAACTTCGAAGTCTTGTTGATCTTAACATGGGCTAGAAACATTCATGTATATTACGTGGAAGAACAAGCTAATGTCTTGAATTTTAGGTCTAAGGTAAAACTTTGTTGTGAGTGCAAAAGGCAAAGTGTTTTTGGTAGGGGTAGCAGGATCTTTATAAATTAAGAGGGCTTCACAGGAAGTGTTAATGCTTAGCTAAAGCAGCACTTGAGTTTGCCCTGTACGGACCAAAGGCTTGGCAATTTCTGCCCCCCGCAGTGTGTATTACTGTGGAAAGATGTGTTAGAAGAGAAGTGGACATCTGGATATGAGCTAGTTAATGTATCTGTTATTGGCCTGGTGCTAAGGGAAAGTCAGTTGTAATGATTAATTCTCAGAAGCATAAAAGATCATGTCCTTAAATCCCTCTGGACTGCAGCTGCTGCACTGTACTGAGAAGATCATAATTTTAGAGTGATTTGTGTAGCAATAATGAGTGTAAAAGGCGCTGGTGGTTATACTATCCTTGCGCAGACGTCCGTGTTTCATCTGACAGCAGCAGTTTTGTATTCTCAATCTGCTCACTTCATTACCTTTTAACATATTGGTACTCAGCAGTTGTTACAATACGTTTATATTGTGTGCAAAGTCTGTTACTTAGTGACAAATTAAAACCAAAATACTTTGTTACTTCTTGCCCATCAGATTTGCTGACTATGTTGAGGTCTTCATGTTCTAAGGAAAAGTACTTTAAGTAAATACCATTATTATCCCTGCCTCAGCTAAGCAATACAACATTTATTTTTAAATTTTTGTCACAAATATGAGCAGGTTGTATGTTGGATGTGTTCAGTCACTCCTCTCCCTGAAGCCAGTGGTTATTATACCAGTGCCTTTAAATCACATGTTATTGCAGGTTCTTTTTATTGTGCTTATCTTGAATTCTGAATGCTTTCCTGTACTGTTGTTTTTGTCACATATCCAATCTATCGTCATTCTCAGGTTTTTGTGTTTAAGATGTTAAGTTTTGGGTTAAGTTTTTGTGAGTTTTTGATAGTTTCCCCACCCATCATTATTTTCTGTGCTTGATCACAGCCTTTTTGGATAGCTTGGAATGACCCAGAGTGCACAAAAACCTTAATCACACCTTTTATTTTCATTTCATTTCAGCGTCCTTTATCTCTGGGGGCTGATATTTGCATGTATTCTGCAACTAAGTACATGAATGGTAAGTGTGCGAGTCCAACACAGCTCAGGCTGTTTAAAACCCATTTTGGCTGCGGGCAGGTCACAAAAACCAGTGTGTCCACCAGTCATTCCTAAATGGACCATTAGAGGAAATGGAGCATTGAATAGGGCATTTATCTTCATAGCTCCTAAACTCTGGGAGAGGGAATATTGACCTGACTGCAGTAAAGGACCCAGAGGTGTTTACAGCCACCTTGGCTTTAATTTGACTGAGGCAGAGCGAGGGACTGCAGCAGGAGGCAGATGCTGGGAATGGTGGTGAGGCTCAAAGGAGGTTCCTTAGGGCTGTGGTGGAGCATCCACTGGTGTGCAGTGATCGAGGTCTTCAGTGGTTTGAGTTACCTAGGTGCAGAAGCTGAGGAAAGCAAAAGCCAGGGCAGCTGACCTCCAACTGGCCAACAGGGTTATTCCATACCATAAACTTCAGGCTCACTAAAATCTGGGGAGTTTGCTGGGAACAGCCCTCTTTCCTCGATGGCTGTTGTCACAGCAGGGTCTCACCCATCATTGTACCCCCAAGGCCTATTCCCCTGCTTGTTGTGGCCACCACAGCTCACTATCACTATATGAGCTGAGTATAACTGTGTACTTTATATTTATACTGTTATTAATACTGGATTTTATTATGATTTATTAAATCGGTTTCCATTTCAACCCGTGGGTCTCCTTTCCTTTTCCTGATCCCCATCCTTGGGTGGAGAGGACTCATCGGGTGACAGAAAAACTGCCTAAATGACAACACTGCATTGGCACTAAGAGTGAGCACATGGGGGTTGTGGCAGAGCCCTGGAGCAGATGGAGCGACTGATTCTGTTCTTGTCTTCTTGAATTTGTAGGGCATAGTGATGTTGTGATGGGACTTGTTTCAGTAAACTCTGACGAACTCCATGAAAGGCTCAGATTCTTACAAAACTGTGAGTAGTCCTTGTAGGAAATACCTTAAAATGAATCATATCCAGATATACCAGCTTGTAATGGGAAGTGTCCTGTGTCTCTTTAGGTTATAGTTAAGACCATGGCAGAAAGAGCATCATCGTTTCCTATATTCACTTGACTTCATACACAAAGAGTCATACAAACTTTAAATTTATTTATTTAGCTTTATCCAACTCGTCTCAAGTACAACTGGGGGTTTTAAACTCATTCACACACTGAGGATATGTCTGATGTACAATTTTAATATATAGGTTGATTTCAACAATTTTACTGCCTCTTGATTGTAATGAATAAATTTCTGTTCTACCTCCTGTCTGCAACAGAAGAAGTAAAGGCATATTATGTCTAATAAATTTAATCCTTGAAGGTCCTCAGCTTGTTAATTCAGCTCATTAATGAGCATCCCGTGTGTGTAAGATGAGGAAGACAGATGGCTTCAGATGTCTCTCCGCTTGTCTCGTTCTAACCTTAGAAATTTTGGAATTTAGGACTTTGTTTAGTTTAAAAAAATGCTAAACAACTATATTTCATGTGAAATTTCGTTTCAATTTCTGCAGCTCTGGGAGCCGTTCCGTCTCCCTTTGACTGTTACCTGTGCAGCCGTGGCTTGAAGACATTACAAATCCGGATGAAGCAACATTTCCACAACGCATTGGCTGTCGCTCGCTTTCTTGAGTCCCATTCCCAGGTGGAGAAGGTCATTTTCCCAGGTGGGTTGGCCAGACTTCAGAGCAGGTGACATCTCGGAGCGCAGCTGGATCTGGGGACTGTGACATTATCTACGTGGCGTCCATGCACCTTCGCATTGGGTGACTCGGGCTGGGGTGTCCCCCATGGCAATGGGCTGTTTCTCCACAGCTGTGCTTTACCCTTTGAAATGCTGGTAATTAATTTAAAGCAACTTCTACCAATTCCAGGCTTGCCTTCGCACCCTCAATATGAGCTGGTCAAGCGGCAGTGCACTGGCTGTCCTGGCATGGTCACCTTTTACCTTAAAGGAGGTCTTAAACACGCTACTTCCTTTCTCAAGAATGTAAAGGTAAGTGCTGTTAAATACAGCTGGGATTTTGGGTGTCAGCGTCTCTAAATAATAGATTATTTGGAAAGGGGAGGCTAATGGGAGGGAAGAAAAAGATGCCTCAGCTCATTCGTTTACTTACTCAGTAGGGTGTTGTATATCCAGGAGAGCCCGGGCATTGCTTCTAACTGAGGGCTTGTGCCCCAGCCTTTTGCAAAAATACCCTGAGTATCTGAAAGCAGGGAAGCTGTGGCTGATGTAATGCTGTTGTAATACTTCAAAGTGCTCATCAGGGGAAAAACCCCTTGAGAAATGACATGAATCATGAAGCAAAGAAGGAGTTCCTCAGTCTGGAGAACAGTTGTCTGTTTATTTTACCTAAACCACAGGCTTTTGCTTTTGCCTTTGTAATGTGTTAATTCTGCCTGTGCTCTTTAATGTGTTTGCTACTCTTGATCTCTGGTTAATTCACATCCTGCTCTGGTGCTTTTGCTGCTTTGTTCTATGAAGAACAAACCAGCAATAATTGACAAAGGTAAATTAGAACTTCCTTCTCCTCCCCATCTTGTCTGCTAATGTCATCAACTGAAAGTGAATTTACTAAAGATAGGATTTTTTTCCACAAAATATCCTTTTACATAAGAAAGAGCATTTAATCATGGTACAGGATATAAAGAAGTCAGTATGAGCAACTGGGGCTGCAGACAATTGTTGAGGGCAGTAAGTACATTCAATAGATTGTGAATTTGTGTGTGAATTTGTGTAATCCAGGAATGTGTGTCCAAAATTCAAAGGGCAGTGCTAAAATACCCCTTAACTGACAGTGAGCATTTCACAAACACTGGTCCTGTTGAGCACTGAGAAATGTAGGCTGGTTTTCAAAATAAGTCTGTTCTAACTCTTAGTAGCTCTTACCTGCTAAATGTTACAGTTATTATAGAAAAACTTAAAAAACCCAAAGCTAACCATTCGCTTTTCCTTAACTGTCTCTTTCTAAGCATTCATAACCTCACACTTGTTACGTTAACTTCTGTTTAATTTTTCCTGTAGGTTTTTGCACTGGCTGAGAGTCTGGGCGGATATGAGAGCCTAGCAGAGCATCCGTAAGTTGTTCTTCATCTTAAAAGTCTAAAAAAAGCTGCAAAGTAACAGAAAAAAGTACTGTAGGAGTTCTAAAGTTTTCTAGTACCCAAAGCCAAGGTATTTTGCATATAATTGGGGTTCCAGGATTGCGTGTTGTGTAGCACAAAAACCAGTGGCCACTCTGGGAATGAGGGTGAATTTTGTGAATATAAGAATCCAGTGGGGAAAGGATTTCCTCGCTTCCTTGTTCCAACGGGGACACAGTGTGTTGCTCAGATAGCAAATCCAAGAAATCAGTGTGTGTTTGTGGAGTCTCCTTCTCTGGAGACATTCAAAACCCACCTGGACGCCTTCCTGTGCAACCTCATCTGGGTGTTCCTGCTCCGGCAGGGGGATTGGACTAGATGATCTTTTGAGGTCCCTTCCAATCCCTAACATTCTGTGATTCTGTGTGATTCTGTGTTTGGGTGGTATTGAGCAGATCTGGTTGAGGAAAAGGCTCTGTTGTTCTGTGTGCTTACACAAGAGGGCATCTGCAGTATGCTGTGTCCAATGTCAGGTACATTTTGTGGGGATTTTGGTAATATTTAGCTGCTCCTGTCTAGATTAAAGGGCTAGAAGTAGGATTTTTAGGGAATTGGATTATTTTGCTGAAATCCAATTTGCTTTTCAAAAAGATACATGGAAAGTTATGACTAAATTTATATGCTAAATCATTTCAGTTCCTCATTGTAGAATAGACTCCAGCAGCTGAAAGGTAATTGCTCACTGGTGGGTGTCAGGTGTATGGGGGAAATAGCTTCTCGCCTATATCCTCCATAGCTGGAGAGAATAAATTCTTCAGTATCAGTGGTACTTTGAGAAGTGATCTGAGACAACAGAAGTTAAAAAAAAGTACGGAGATTTTATACTGGAGATTGTGTACTATGGCTATTTCTCCACATGCTCACAGTAGAGCTTTTAGAAACTATTTTTTAGGAGAAAAAACATCTTGAATGAAGAGGAATAGGGTTTTATTTCCTTCTTTTTCATTTCCAGGTTATTAAGTATCCTATTTTCATTCACCATTTTATTCAACATTTGTAACTTCTCTGTGGATAGTGTAATTGCCAGTAACTGTGGATGGGATCTCCTTCCATCTGGGTTAACCAGCAGGTGTAGGCGCTTTACAGATGTTCAAGGGATACTGGCAGCAAACCGATTTGTTTGGTCTTTACTGACAAAAAGTAAATGCTTCTTATTGAAAAGGCTGTTTTTTTCCCTCCAGGGCCATCATGACTCACTCTTCGGTGCCTAAAGAACACAGAGAAGCTCTCGGCATCAGCGATACATTAATTCGCCTGTCAGTTGGGTTAGAAGATGAAGAAGATTTACTGGAAGACCTAGACCAAGCCCTGAAAGCTGCGGTAAGTCAGGTTTTCCTTAGTGCTTTAAAAGTGATTTCCCTCTGCTCCTCTGCCCTTCTCACTCTGCTGTCTGCAGGTAGTTCTTCTTTAAACTACTCAGAAGTGAATGCTGCAGTGTGTGTGTGTGTGTGTGTGTGTGTGTTCGGTTTTAAAGCTTTTGTTCAGTTTCTCTTCGCAGCAAGGTTTTCAGGCCTTGCTGGGTGCAATTTGAATCGGTACAGGTTCAGACAGAGCAGATGAGGTGGCCCTGGTGTCTGTGACGGGTACAGCCCCTAAAATCAGGCTGAAGGGGGCACTTGGACAGGCATCACAGTGCTCAGAGCGTGCTTCGGGTTGTCCACGTCACAGATTTAGAGAGGGTTGAAATATATTCAAGAAATGAGCTTCTACCAGACATCGAGTCCAATATTTGTATAGCACTATTTCATTTATAAGCACTGTTTCTACTCCTTCTGTATTTGAAACAATAGGTTAAAATTGGCAGGTTTCCTAAAACATATGGGGTGTCTGTATGTTTGTGTATGGGTACACACACGTGCAGGGGAAGGGAGGTTAAATGCATGTTGTCTTTTGGTCCTGCACAGCTTTGAGCTCTGCTTTGGATCGGCTGATGCTGGGACTGAAGGAATGAGTTGGGTTTTGGTTTTTTTTTTAACTGGAAAGCATTAGTCATAACTGAAAAAGAGAAAGTGTGGGCACTTGGCTTTGATGGATCCCCTTTGGCGGTTCAATGTACCAGTGTTTCATTGCGGAGTATGCTGTGTTGTACTGTACCTTCTATAATTCTTCCAGCTCGTACTTTGGTGTTGTGGGAGCGCCATAACTCTTTTCGGTTTGTCCATTTGTTTCCTTTGAGTGGGAATTCTGCAGATTTGGGGGGTCCTCGGGAGTTCTTGCAGGGACACCAAGGACAGAGTTCCCAAACTTTGGTGGACCTTGAGTCAGCTCCAAGCCAATGGCCAAGGCAGGACCAGGCTCAGCACCACCTTCTTCTCTCCTGCCACCTCCTCATCCTTACAGGCACCTGCATCACAAAAAAATAATTAAAAAATAAAGATGTTTGAAACATAGTTTTGTCTGAGAGAACATGGTGGCACTGGTGAGTAAAGAGTAAATTGGAGTCCTGCAGATGAATAGTGGTTCAATGTACTGTACAGACAGGAAATTTGTTTGGTGACAGGGAAAATTAGCAATAGTAACTGCGTGTATTTCTATATGCCAGCACGGGTCATGAAAATAATCTAATGCTAAAATGTATCTTATTTATGAAAAGGAAAAAAAAAACTGCACGGTCGATACAGGTGCATAGCAGAATTAACTCTCATTTTTCCTTCTCATTGCAGTTTGCAGAGCACAAGGCTTGACATTTACAAACCGAAACCTGGAACTGCAGGTTGAAATGGCTGACGAAGCTGGCACAGAAAGCCACATTGCTAAAGATTTGCCTTTGATTCGCCTTAGAAGATTTCACTCTGCTCAACACAAGGCTGCGTTCCTGGGATCCCTCACTGTGCCGTGATTTTTATCCTGCTGCTGCAGCTGAGCGGGGCCATGCTCTCCTCTGGGGCCGCCTCTGCTGCGCTAGGGTCCTGTGGACTGTGTGGAGCTGTGGGCTGTGTTCCAGAGCAGCCATGGTGGGCGTTCAGCAGTGTTATCCCAGTTCTCCCAGTGCGGAGCAGTGTTTCTTGCTCGTTGCACTGGTGTTGACAGGGTGCGAGGCACAGGGGTTGGTTTCTTCAGGGTGTGCAGTTCATTTTTCCTCCCATCTTTTAATCCAACAGTCCAGCTTAAAAACTGTTGATTTAACTTAGATTTTTTTTAAAATTAAGTTGGAAATGTGGTTAAATGTTTTTTCACCTGTTAATTATGGAGTACTAAAAATGAAGTGAAATCCAATACCTGGTAAATAATAGGAACTTTCCAAAGAGGAGTCTTTCCCTTTTTTAGAAAAAAATAACATACTGTTAATTGTGGTAATGACTTGGCTTATATTTGGAGCTGGAGAAATTTTAATTAAAATATGCTTATGAATTTCCATCATGTATTACTTGTTTTGACCTTTGTGTATACTACTCGCATTCAAAATCAGGTGATAAAACGATCCTGAATTTATTTACATTTTCCTGTGAGAAAATGATGTTGATGATTTTACTTTTGGAAAATAGGGAAGCACTTCCATTTGTTGTAATTAAGATAAGACTGTGCTTCCTATACCGGGTCAACGCAGCGTTTTGGTGTGAAGTACAAGGATAATCCTATCGACCTGTCCAAGCACTGTGCACAGTTATGGGTATCGACACCAGGATATGTCCCTGGGGCTGTAGGGGTGGCAGAGATGGGCTGGACCCCTCAAAATTCCCTGTGTGCACGGAGCGAAGCTATAAAAAGGAAGCAGCATGCGCTTGCCCCCTTCCCAGGAAAGCAGAAACCAGAAGTAATTTTCCCATTACTCTTCGTTCATCTGAATATCCTTGATCAGCGTTTCCAGATTAGATCACCCATCTCAAAATGAGATTTCACTGAAATGTCAAATGCAGAAACCTTATGGGGAGGGGGTGAAGTGGATGGTAGGAGAGCACACCAAGCTGATAATACATCCAATAATCCTAAATATCCCTTCTTTTCTGGCTTCCCTGGAGTCGTGGCTCCAGCCCCCTCCAGATCCACCACATATTTCCTGTACCACCACATTCCTTCTGCAGTTAAAAGGCTGCATTTCCTCCTTTGATCAGGTTTTGCAGATGTGGATTCAGCTTTCACTACACTTCAAGGGGATTTTCCTTCTCATGTCCAGGCCCAGATCGCCCTCGGGTTGAATAAAGCTCACATTTGTTCCCTGGGAAATCACTGTGTGGCTCTAAGCCAAGAAATAAGGGCAGCAAAACCGTGTCTGTGCTGGGGAACAGCAGTCTATGAGGTGGCTTTGTGGCATTGGGGGGACGGGACAAATCCTGCCCGGTGTCATTTTTGTGTGAATTTGATGTGAATTTTTGTGTGATTCGATATGAATTTTTGTGTGAATTTGATACCCTCCATGGGAGGTTTTTGGCCCTTACCCCCAGCATTATTAATGGCAGCAAGTGCAGGAGGCAGCACCTCCTGCACCCCAGCCTCCAATTCGAGCTTATTTTGGCATTTATCGGCTGCAGTCACAGCCATTTGATAAAGGGCTTTTTCCAGTCGTAAAGCAGCCAAGAGCCGTAGCGCATGAATCAGATCAGTTCTTAGAAACTTCCAGCTTTTCCTTACAGGAAAGTTGCTGTAATTGAAATGTGCTATTTGTCATCATTACATAAACTTGTATATACAGCAACTGTCAAGTGATACTGTGCATTCTTTCCGTTTCAGTGGCGGCACTCGCCCATTTCGCAGATGGGCGAACTGACCCTCACTGTCACCGCCGCCCATGAACACAGGCATCTGAGGATGCTCCGTCCTCCCCTGGTGTGGCAGAGCATGTGATGGGACCCGGTGGCTCCAATCCTGCGTGTTTGTGGATTTCCTGAGCTCGAAGGCATTAAATCCAGCAAAGCAGGTGAATTTTCCTACCAGTACAGCTTCCTAACCATCGCAGGTGTGTCTTTGGGTCCACAGTGAGTTTGAGCCCAGTAAGTTCTTCATATTTTCAAAAATTTATTCAATAGATAAATATATTAAACGTATATATTTCTAGAAATACAATATTTAGTTTTCATTAAAATACAAATAAATAAATACAAAATTTATTTGTAATATTTAATACATTAATATAAATGTATTACATTTAAAAAATCTATTTTTCCTCTATTGCAAATACATTTTTCACCTATTATATCATATTCCCACTCTATCAAACTGAAAGGCTGTGTGAAAAAAAAGAGATACTTTGAGCCTAACACAATTCTCTGAAAAAAATCCAATTATTTGGGGTTTTTTGTGTTGCTGTGGAGGGGGAACAGACCCTAGCCTCTTCATCACTGGTCCCCCCACCACAAACCCTGCTCCCTTTGCACGCAGGACCGCCCAACTCTTTTTCCCCTGCTCCAAGGGCAAGAAGTGCTCTCACATCTCCAACACAGCTTACAAAAATGGAAATAAAAGTGTATCCAGGAGACCCCTGGCTCTCAGGGACCCTGCAGCTCCAAGCCCTCTCCCAGTTGCACAGGGGAACCAAGTCCCAGCCCGTCCCTCCACCATACAAATTCCACACAATTAAAGGTGCCATTTATAGAAAGAAAAAAAAAATCCAATGAGGAATGCTTATTAATTGAGAGTATTTGATTTATTAACCAAAAATGCATTTGCCGAGCAATGCGCAGTAATTGAGAGAGTGGACAGGAATTAATGACTACAAATATTGATATCTTTTAGACATCCCAAAGGATTCAGCAGTCATTTCCTCTCACTTTTTCATTAGGTTTGTCAATAGAAATTCTAACGACATTTCTCACACATGGAAGGCGGAGCAAGCTGCCCTTAAAAAGCCCCAAAATCCTAAGTCTACACTGGTGTCTGGAGTTAATGAAGAAATGGAGTGCACGGCTGGAATTTCACCTGTATCTTGACTAAATATCAATATCAAAATCCAATGTTTGATACCGATATAAAATATTTGGAATTAATAAATTAAGTCTGAACAGCTTTTTAATTGGTTGTGACAAATGGGAGAACCTGAAGCTGCAGTAACATGGAGATGGGCACAAATGTGTCTTATTTTTTCCTCTGTCCCCAGGAAATGCCGTGTTAATGATTTTGAATGGAACTAAAACCAAATTTGTTTTCCATCTTCATTTTTTGACCAGTGCTAAAATAGGCTGCTGTGGAAAGATCAGGGGTTTTTTCCTCATTTGTCATTGTTGCAATTAGTAGAACTATGCCACATCTTTTTAAATGTATTGCCAAAGTATGTAGAAGTATTTGTTGGATCCAAACTCTGTGATTTCCAGCAGAGCACAGGAAAATTAAGATTCCTAATTCCCTGACAAATCAAACACTGAGGATAATCTATAAATCCAAGCCTAAACCGCATTTTTCTCTTAAAAAACATGTTGCAGTCCTTAGTGGCAGTAACATTTATTGAAGGCGTAAGAGTGCACAGTTCAGGTTGCCCTCCACAGTCAGGACCAGATCCTGTCTGCATTCTCAGCCCTGTATTTTTTCTCAACTTCTTCAAGTAACCATCTTTATTTAGATTTGCAAAATCCTCCCTCTGGACACTACTATATTTAGCTGAGCCAATGGCGCTGGCAGTGGTAGTTTTGTCGTGAATTCATCCTTTGACAGATGAGCTGGAAAGGATCCTCCAATGTCCCGTATAAGGAGCGGGAATATCCACCCCGCTTGCCGCCGTGATTTACAGCCTCATCTCATGAGAAGTTTAGCTCAGTTCCCCCACCCCATCGTCTGCAAAGTCTTTCTTCACACATTTATTGGTTTGGAGCATGTAAACTGTTTGCACAGCGCTCTTTCTGCCGTGTTGGCTTCTCCTCATCCTCAAACCCTGCCTTGCCATGGACCTGGGGGGAAGGCAAAGGGGTCATGATGAGACCTGTGTGTGGTACAACCAAGGAGCACGAAGAGCAGTTCAGGTCTCAGTCCAGGTCTAGCAAATTCTCAGTGAATGTGGATATTTAAACACCTGAAAGCATTAAAAACATGTGTGGATGTGGCACGTGGGGACATGATTTAGTGGGCACAGTGGTGTTGCGTTGATGTTTGGATTTGACGATCTTAGAGGGCTTTTCCAACCCTCATAATTCTGTGATTCAACCCTTGAAGAGGTTGCACTTTCCCTTTTTTAGGTGATTTGTTGATTTGGACAAAAATCATTTTTATAGGCAATTCTACAGGCTGTGTTTCCTTTCCCAAGCACCTGGGAAGCATCTTTAACCTCTTAGGAATTACAGTGCCTGACCACAGCATGGGA